ACATGACTGTGGGACACTGAAACTCATAAATATGAACCAGTTGACAAGTATTTGAATTTTGATCACATGATCATTCAGATGCCACAACAGTCGTAACTGTGAAAAATGGTCATGAGTCACTTTTTTCAGTGCCATTCTAACTTTGAATAGTCACTAAACAAATAGATACTTTGGAATCTACTCACAGCTTTCCAGCAAGATGTTTTCTGTCTAAATAGGATGCAGAAACATTGATGAGAGAATAGGAGATAGCCTTTTATATTAGAACGCATTTTAATACCTGTTTTGCCATCATGTACCATATTCTTTTTCGGATGGTTTAAGCTTTGGAGTGGCTAGGGAACAATCGCAAAAGAGATTAGAAAACTATTTTAAATAAAATGACTGTAGATCTCCAGGTAAAAATCCCCCTCCCTCCCAAGCAATCTTGTGTCATTCATTTTGTTTTGTGTCATTATTTTGTTTTGATTCAAACTATTTCATAGTTGTTGATGCACAGATGAATGTTTGCACCATTTGACACGTATTCTAACCACTGCAGTGGCGCAGTGGTTAGAGTGCAGTACTGCAGGCTGCTTCTGCTGACTGCCAGCTGCCTCCAGTTTGGCAGTTTAAATCTCACCAGGCTCAAGATTGATTCAGCCTTCCAGGTCGGTAAAATGAGGACTCAGATTATTGGGGACAATATGCTGATTCTGTAAACTGCTTAGAAAGCGGTATATAAATCTAAGTGCTATTGAGTTTAGTGGAACTTTGTCCCAGGACAATGGATATGACTTACAACTCTTTTTTGTTGTTGTTGTTGTTGAATTCCAGGTGCTCTGTCCTATGCAGATCTCGGAACATGTATTACAAAGTCAGGCGGGCATTATATTTATCTTTTAGAGACTCTAGGACCATTGCCGGCTTTCCTCCGATTGTGGGCTGAATTTATTATGATACGGTAAGGATGGCTTTTCTTTCTCTTCCTTGTCTAAAAAAGGAAGGAATGCCAGATGATGGGAAGATTTATTGGGAGCTTTGTCTCTTTAAATCTCTCAATGGGGCATGTTCCAGCTGTGTTTTTAAAGGCAGACAGCTGGTGAATGGAGCACCACTGAGATCTAACAAATGTTTGGAAGGAGGGAGGGGGGAAAGCATCTGAAATGGCAGGGAACAGTGGGGAAGAACGAAGAATGGAAGCAATAATAGAGAAAGCTCTAGGGAGACTTCAGATGAAAAACAATCACAAACCAAAGACCTCTCCCTTTCAGTCATAAGATGGATGGGTTTTTTTCATTTCTTGCGGGGCAGATACCACTGCCCTGCTTGCAATAAACTATAGACCTGCCTCTCTGGCTCTATAAAAAACAATTTGGGATTGATTGAATGACATTGTCCTCCCCCTCTAAGCCAGATCACTCCTCAATCAACTGAACTGTCTTCCAGGGAACATCTGGGAGCTACAGACTTGAAAGAGATTCCTGTAGCTGGTGGATGACAAGTCTTACATCTATAGAGTAGATCCACTCCTATTTCAGGCCAAAACAATGATTCTGCAAGACTCTTACTTCACCATAGTCAGAACAACCAATACAGATTTATTTCCTTTCAGCAGAGTCCACAGACAGTGTGGTTAAAAAAAAAAAGACCAAGATGGTGATTGTGATGTTGCACCAAAACTTTAGCTTTTTTAATATGTAAGGTATATAAAAATGGGTGGAGTTATAATCCCACAGTCATCTTGACTCTTTTGACCATATACTATGGGCAATCTTGCTCCTTTTCATTTTGTTATTATATTATCATAAGCCAGAAGAAGGTGAAGAGGAAAGCACACATTGCAAAAAAACCTATTATTAATATGTTAAAATTATTAGTCTCTTATGACTTGTAACATTGTACTGATAATTTAGCATGTTGGCTGAAGCTTATGACTTGGACTTTGCATTTAATTATGTGATTTATCTACTGACTGAAACCTGCTAGGCTTTAGCTAGCTTATAGAATTCACAATATAAACTAAAATACAAAAGCAATATTTAAACATTAAATGATATAGTATTTTAATTTAAATATTAAAAACAATAAAAAAATGATTAAAACCAGAAGTGGCTTATTCCACTGTAACTGAACCATCAATGTCTTACAGCAAGGTGTGGACCAAGTCCACCATTTTGATTAAATCATAAACTTTCGTCTGCCACACATTAGAAGTAGACATGTCTCATCGTCTCATTCTCCTCATAGAGGAGAAAGATGAGAAAGACATGAGTTCTCCTCATCTTCTATCCAGTCTTCCAGATGAATAATTCTGAAAGCAGACACTATTTTCACTATTTTCAACTTCATTTCACTTGCAGATTTTTCACAAGTGAGAATCCATAAGTCAAATCTGATATTCTGTCATTTCTGATTTTTATATTTCAGACCTGCAAATATAGCTGTGGTGTCTTTGGCATTTGGTCGATACCTCATTGAGCCTTTCTTTGCTTCTTGCCATGTCCCTCCTCTGGCTGTGAAATTGGTCACAATGGCAGGAATTAGTGAGTATCAGTGAATGCAAGATCAAAGTACTTGTAGTTTATTATCAATAAACAAGTATTTACTACCCAGTCTCAATGTTTTTTTAAGTAACTTTACTCTGAAGTAAGATAAACAACTGGAAGATTTAATAGCTACCAACTGCAGAATGATTCTGATCAAATCAATGATGCTAGATTTTTACAGTTGATGTACAGGAATAGTTGATGAACATAGAATCCAAAACTTGTTAAGTTGATGTCCCACTTTCTATTTCTAACATGTAATCAAGGTAGGGCAGAGTGAAAATCCTGTAGCAATGATTAGTACAAATTTAGCTTATTTGTTTTGACTATGGGTTAACACACATGATAAACGATGATATGGTTTGTTTGGTTTTGGTGAACACAGGCTTTGTAAACCAGGTTTTCTCTTTCATGTTTTATCTGTAGTCAGCCAACAGTGGTTTGTTCAACCAACTATCGTTTAGCCTGATTGTGAACTTGGTAATTTTTCTCAGTTCTCAGGATTTTTCTCAACCCTAGTTGTTGGGGGTGGGTGGTTTGTGGGTTGTCTAGATGTTCGTATTTTTTTCTTTTATTGTTTTCTTCTCTTTTAAAGTACAAGCTGCCTATTATCATTCTGAAATCAGGCAGCCTCTAAATATAATAATACAAAGAAATATAAATCCCTTTGTTAATAGAAATATCCATCATTTCCCCAGATAGCAATACGTTCATGCAGATGCTTCAAAATTTGCAATCTCTCAAATACTCAGAATTGTCATGATTTCCTTAAACTTGTTCCATCCACACACATAACTGGGTATATTTAAACCACACATTAGAACCAAATTCACCCAGGTAGTTTATTCAAGGATGCAATTACTTTTTGTTCAGCCCCAATGTTAGAACCCTATTTAACTTATAAGCCACTTTTTTGTGATTATATGAGCTCTGGTGGTGCAGTTGTTAGAATGCAGTATTGCAGGCTAACTGTACCCACAGTCTGGAGCTTGATCCTCATGGGACTCGGCCTTCCATCCTTCCAAGGTAAAATGAGGCCCCAGATTGTTGGGGGTAATATGCTGACTTTGCAAACCTTCCACAGAGTGCTGTAAAGCACTAGGTAAAGGTAAAGGTTTCCCTGCTAGTTGAGTCCTCCAGGATTGGGCGGCCTATAAATCTAATAAATTGAATTGAATTGAATTCTGGCTCTAGAGGTGGTGCTCATCTCCGTTTCTAAGCCTAAGAGCCAGCAGTGTCCAAAGACTGCTCCATGGTCAGGTAGCCGGCATGACTAAAGGCCGAAGGCGCACAGAACGCTGTTACCTTCCCACCAAAGGTGGTCCCCATTTTTCTACTTGCATTTTTTACATGCTTTCAAACTGATAGATTGGCAGAAGCTGGGACAAGGAATGGGAGCTCACTCCGTTATGCGGCACTAGGGATTTGAACCGCTGAACTGCCAACCTTCTGATCAACAAGCTCAGTGTCTTAGTCACCGAGCCACCGCATCCCTCTATAGTAAAGCACTATGGGGTGGTAAATAAATCTAAGTGCTATTGCTATTTGTGAAATCTTTAACATCATTTTTGCCATTTTTTTACTTGCTTCCCAAATCCTTTTTCAAACTGTCCCTCAGTTTCCTTCTCCATTTATCCCCCACCTCTCAACCTCCCAATCCAACTAGACCCATATAAACAGAGGTTCACCGAGAGTTAATTAAATCCTCTAATAGGAAAGAAAGAAACAAGATAAAATACAAAGAATGGAAAAGAATTATATAGAAGTTAATATCAGATAGGGGAAATTGGAGCTCAGCATAGCTCTCCTCTAATTGTTCTAGGTTAGATGAGAGCTATGCTGAGCTCTAATTTCTGCTATCTGATATTAACTTCTATATAATTCTTTTCCATTCTTTGTATTTTATCTTATTTATTTATTTCCTATTTCCAGTCTTATGAGCATTTTATAATTACCAGCCATTCTGTAAGTCCCTAATGCCAGAAAATCTTTTTTTACCATATCTTTTTCTTTAAAAGATATATCCGTTCTTTAAGCATCATCTCTGTTAATTCTTGTTAAAATTCTATTCATCTCTAGAAGCATAGAAACAGTCATCCTTTCTTGTGGTTGAAATAAAACTAGCTTGAAAGGAACCTCCAATTTATACCTTATTCCCCTTTTTCATAGTTTTTCTGGGAAAGATTTGAAAGCTTTTCTTCTTTGTAATGATAATAACGTTTGGAGATAAAATATAGAGTTAATCAGTCTTTTCTACATGTTCTCTAATTCCAAAATCATTTCTTTTATTCTGATCCTGGGTATTGGTTTAATGTCTGTAATATCTTTTTGAACTCTTCCAGTATCAAACACATTTTTTTGTAAAGGCAACAGAAGTCTGGACAACTTATGAAACTTGAGAAGAAAATTATTTTCACTGAATTTATTAGCAACGTATCTACCGACATCTGTTGGATCATATTAGCTAACATACCACATTCTACCTTAATATCTGTTCATTGCTTAATTAGTTTTCTTATCAAATCAGTTTAAAGTTTCATCCTGAACAGTGATTAATTTTTGTGCACGCCATGAAAACATCCTCCCCCATCAAATCTTCATTGCTAGCATGGAGTGCACTTCAGCTACCTTTGAATCATTTGTATAAGCTTCTGCCTTTTGCGAATTATCTTTGTAAGTTATCTTTTTTTACTACAAATATTGCCAATCAGTTGAATACTATGGTAGTCAAATGCAAACTGTGAAAATTATTGGAAATGCTGGATTGGTAATAACAATCAATACACCATCTTCTCTAGCGACTAGCCATCCCTCACCTCCACCACCAAGACAATCCTAAATTGATATTTCCTCTTCCAAAGGAAAGTTAGACAGAAAATTATTCAGTAATCCATGATTGAAACAAACCATGGCTTAGTGCAATGTGTGAATAAGAAAGTAATTTGAATTCAGCTTCTTCCTCAGCTTAAAAGCTACTATTTGACACCATTAAAATCTTAGCATATACTAGATCCCTATTTATTCAGGAATTCTAATAGTTGCATTCATGCTGCAAAAACATGTAAAAACTCTTGGGCTATAAATACCCTATATAATGTGATACCTTTGCCCATAAGAAGTTCACTGCATGGATAGTCCCCGCAAATTGGTGTAGAATTTGTGGAACAGACAACATATATATAAGCAGCTTGATGAATCATTCAGTGAGTGGGTGATGGGAAGGAAGGAAGGAAGGAAAAGAGAAAAAAAGAGAAAGAAAGAAAGAAAGAAAGAAAGAAAGAAAGAAAGAAAGAAAGAAAGAAAGAAAGAAAGAAAGAAAGAAAGAAAGAAAGAAAGATTCTCT